ATGTAATATTAAGTCGCACACTCATTAACTAATGATAATTTTTGGATGAGGAAAAGAATAAACTAAATTTCACCTTAATAAGTTGCATTTCATTTTCTTTTTGAGGGGTTTACTTCTAAATTCATGTCTTTGATTTTTTTTATTTTTTTTAAAGCAAAAAAAAACTTATTGTTTTATTCTTCCTTTTTTTAAAACACAAATTGAAAATTATTTAATTATAAATACGAATTTTTTTCTTTTGAAAAGCTATCACTATTCATGGATAAATGTAGCTTTTTATTTTTCTCGTAAAAACAATCGTCATTTATTAATGAATCCGCAACCAATTTAAGGCTTCTTATAGTTAAAATGTGATAAAAGCAATAATATGAATGACAAAACATGACTTATAAATTAGAAAGTTTCAAGTTACTCTTTGCAACTTTTTCAAAAAAAAATTGCCTCAAAGTTAGTAATAAATGTTGTTTTCTTAATTTACTAGTATAACCCTTTTTTTTAATTTGATTATCAATTTCAAGAATTGATCCAAATTTACTAAATGATATTCTTATATGCAATGACACAATGAGAGTGGACATATTATCCCCATATCAAAGTAGAGCATTCCTGTGAAGTTGTACTATAAATATAGTTCCTAGGATTGGTATTTAAGCAGGATTCCACATATATCCCAAATATAAGAAAAAATTCAAAATAACGTGCAAAATACAATAAGTTATTAGCACACATCCATGATCCCTTAATTGAAAATTCAATTAATCCTAGTGGAGTCACTAAGCTATCACAACAAGGGTATCCGAACATAATGAAAAAAAAAACTACGTAAAAGTATAAATTTTATATTTTAAAATATAAGAAGTCACCACCAATCCTATTTGGAGAAAAATCATAATATTAAGAAATTTATTTATTTACTTTTGAGATCATAAGGTTCAGAGTGATATAAGGTGACAAAATGTGAAACATCTATTGATATCAATTCCGATAGCACAAATAACAACTCATGGACAAGACATAACTCAAGCTTATATGGGAGATTACATAAGCTTAAGAGCTCACAACCACAAAGGGAATCATGGCTACATAAGCGTAAGACCTCACGACCACAAAAGAAATTATGGTTACATGAGCTTAAAATGCTATGATAACATTAAAAGAGAGTAAGACTTAATCCAAGAGGGAGTTCATGGCCATATGAGAGCTTCCATAGAAGCTCAAGGCCATATGGGGAATTACGTGAGGGCTCACAGCTTCATAGGAGATCAAGGTGAAACTTATAGTCTTATGAGCTTAAAAGGCCATGGTTTAGGCCTCATGATTAATGGAACTCGTTGGAAGGTCCATACACTCAAAGATCTATACGGTAAGGTCCATTTAAGTGGGTCTCAAGATCCAATTCAAAAAAAGTAAAGTCCATATGGGGAAAATCCTATAATGAATCCACTTTAAGGTGCATTTGGACTTTAAGGATGGAGTATCACAAGAACATGGGCAATAAACTCAAGAGAGATTTTCAAGTGTCTGTTAAAGGATGGATTCATGAAGAATGGAGTATTGAGTTAGAATTTGAAGGCCTTGAAAGGAAGAATATGAGCCCACCAAGGTAAGAAAAGAATCAGCCACTATAGTGTCCTACAATCTAGAGAATTTCTTTCCCATTGTGAGAGATTTTCTCTCATACAAGAGAGATTTTTTTCCTTTTCCTCTCATTGCCAATCGGCCACATAAGATCATGGATGGATATGTCTTTCATAAAAAACATAGTAAATCAAGGATATTTAATTCACAAGATCATGAACAGATTAACCACCAAATAGACAAAATCATGGCAGATCCATTAGATCATGGACAAATTCACTTTAAACTCTTAAGAAACCAAGAAATCTTCTCATGTCTAAGCATGGTCGAATATTCTTCAAGCAATCTTCCCCTATTTTAATTACATCTAATAATTAAAGCAAGAAATTTTCTCATGGGTGGCCACATCTCAACTTAATCGTCAAGAAATCTTCTTTAATTCAAGATGAATGGTCATATCTCAATCAATAAGTCTTATTTTCTTAAATGTATAATTTATTATCTTCTTAGATAAGCATTTGCAATTATTTAGGAGATTTAGTTTACATTGTAATTCTATTGACCTGCATCTATAAATAGCCTCATTAATTGGTTGTAAGCATCGAAATTTAAAATCAATAAAGTACATAGCTTTTTACCTTGTCAACTTGTGAAGTTTTCTTTAGACTTATTATTGAGTGGAGAATTTATGTCTACCTATCAAGTTAATTTATGATGTTTTCATTAATTTATTTTCTTGAATTAATTTTAATTTTCAGAATATTTCTTATGACATTCTAATTCATTTGTTTATCTCAATTATTTTAATTCTAATCACATGTTAATTGTAGGCTAAGTAAAAAGGATTTATTTATGAAATAAGTTTTTTGTGCTAATTGTTTATGTGCAATTTCATATTGCATTAGTTGATCGTAGGTTCCCCATTAGATGTCTTATACTGCAGACTAAGTAGCAAAATAATTTGCATGTGAAAATTAATTTTTCTAAAAAAATTTAAGGTGGACCATGTATGAACTTGATTTTTACTCATAATTAAATATAATATTTTCACGAAATATTAAGGATGAGAGAGTGAAATACATCAAAATAAATAAAAACTATGTAAACAAAATATAAATTGACGAGTCCTTTGAAACTTCGATCCTTGAATTTTTTTTTTTTTTTTTTTCTCCCTTCCATGAGTTACTCCCGAAAGAATCAATCATTTTTCACAAAGACAATAGAACAATAATCACATTGAAATAATACCCATGTTAAGAATGGTGTTAATTAGGCATCCTCAAGATCTGGCAACGTCAAAACATTTAAACAACATAAAATGAATTTAGTTAAAAGTATACTTTTTAGAACCATTTATCTTTTATGTCCAAAACACTAGAAGAATCAAAATCAAAATTATTCAAACTAACTAATAGAAATCATGGCGACGATCAAATTTCACAATACCAATGAAACTTTGAACTCAACTTATACCCAAAATGAAAAATACAAGAACTTATATAATCAAGTTAAATTTAGTAAAAAAAGAAAAGAATCCAATTTCGTATGCTTTCTTTTCCAATAATAATTAGTAGCATCCCAAATTACAAAATAAAAAGACTATACTGTTAACCAAATCTACCTTTTCTTCTTCTTCTTCTTTACCGTTCTGGGCCACCACGAAAAAGAACAAGTTGTGTTTCTTCTCCTCTTGGGACCCCTTTTATATAGCCAAGAAAGAATCATCACCACCCCTTCATTTACAGTTGCGCTCACCGATCTCGCACGTTAATCCCGCGTGCGTGATCTCCTCCTCGTATTTCCTTTCCATCTGCCGCCAACCCTCTGTTTCTCTCCTCTTCCTTTTCAGTTCTGCAGAAACTCTAGGTGTCTTTTTTCTTCGTTTCACAATGTTTTATCTCGGCGTTCGTTAAAAGGTGAAAAGTCCCTGGAAGAAATGGCGCCATTTTTTATTGGCTGGACGGATATTGCGTGGCTTCTCCTTTCTTCTCTGCCGGGCCTTCTAGTTAAGTTTTCAATTGGGTTCGGGTTTGGGTTCATTAAACGCTTTCTTTTTTTGTTTTTTGTCTCTCCATTTCTATTTTCTTCTTTTTCTTTTATTTTTCCTTTTCTCATAGAATAAAATAAAGATAATAAAAGTAAAAAATAAAATCATATGATAATTAATAAATTAAAATAAATCTTAATAAAATTAACATATTATTGGTATAAAACTGTGATTTTAGATATTTTTCTTACCAAAGTTTCTGGTCAAGTACTTGAGTGTTTTTCCAACCATTTTTAGACATTTCAGGTGGCTAAATACATTTGTAGTCTTTTTTTCTTAAATGTTTCAGTTATTCATGTATTTCTAGTTTTTTTTTTTTTTTCTTTTTTTCTTTTTTTTTTGGTCAGGCATAATATTTAATAATAACAATATTATAAAGGATAAATTTGTAAAAACAACAAATTTCTTTCTTTTTTTCGAATAAAAATGAGAGAAAGAAATATAGGATTATAACCTTAATCCGTACCCTCCATTTCCTCTCTTTTCTCTCCCCTTCTGACTCAATGCCCAATCCATGATAAATAAACTTTCAACACATCAGCTTTATAATCAATTGTGATCCCACCATCCCCAGTTGCCAACAAAACCCACTAAATAATATACAAATAATTTTAAAGCAATTCCCACTAGCTTCTCTATTAGTCTTTAAGCTACCACATCATATTCCTTATAAAGTCGTCATTGAACAAGTTGTTGACCATCTCATTCCGAAAAGAAATCAACAAGACTGGCATGGTTTCTCCCCTTGGAAGCAATGGAAGACTTGGTTGCAAGGAAGAGTCAACCACCAGAAAGGAAGGAACCCAATTACCAACAACATTTCTCTTCTTCTTCACCTTTTTCTTTCTTTCTATCCTTTGAGTCATCTCCAAGCTTTCTTCTTCATCTCTCTAAATCCTCTTGCTGCTCCACAGAATTGCAGGCTGTATATGGATAAAAGCCGATTCGGGTTCCTCCTGCTCGTCTGCGTCATCATCTCTCTTGGCCTTGTCTCCTTCATTTCATGTTTTGTTGCCGAGGTGAAGAAAGCAAAGGTACAACATATATATATATATATAGATATATACATACATATATATTCATGACTTCATCTCATCAATTAATAGATAATTGGGTGGCGTGTTTTGTAGAGGAAAGATCTCAAGTGGGACGGGAGATTGTGTTATCTGCCAGGCAGTGAAGCGTATGGATTAGGATTTGCAGCGTTGCTCTGTTTCTCTATTGCTCAGATCATTGGAACCCTAGTAATTGGCATAAACATATGCTGCTCCACAGACAAAATAAACCACTTCAAGGCTAGAATACCGGCAGTCGCCACAGCGCTTCTGGTTTTTTCTTGGTAAGTGCTACTATAATATATACATTTTCTTTCTTATTTTCTTTAGTTACAATTTAAATAATCGATTTAATCAGTTTTTATTATCTAGAATTTTTAAAATAATCAATTCAATTAATGATATAAGATGGGTATAAGAGTTTGAAGTCTTAATTTAATCTTATTTTTATTAAAAAATAACTTTGAACAGAATTTGTTGGACCTGTAAATGTTTTATAATACAATTATACAACTATAATACATAAAAAAAAGACGTGATTAATTTTAGAATGAATAGATTATATTGCATCTGTGAAGTAGAAATGATAACTAATAGGCTCCCCAGACACTTTATAAGAACATAAATGGGTGATAACTGATAATAATTTATAATACAATTATACAACGTGGACAGCTGGAGTTTACTTCATGTTCAACGCCTAGAAATACTACATTCTTATTTTGCATTTCAGAATTTAGTAATAATAATTATTGTATTAAACCATGGGATGCATGCAGGAGCAGCTTTGGGATTGGTGTAATTCTGGTGAGCACAGCAACAAGCATGAGCAAAACGCAGTCGTATGGTAAAGGGGGGTGGAGGGGGAATGCTACCTGGTCAAAGATGGAGTGTTTATGGGATCAGGTTTTCTGGTTCTAATCTCTATAGGAACCATGCTGGGGGCAGTCCATTTTATGACAAGAAAATTACAAGTTGAACCAGAAGGAAAAGTACATGCCCAAGTCATTTGAGATTTTGAAATGGTAGTTAACAAGTGGATGATGGAAAAAGCACAAAGCTCCACAAGTTGATAAAAAAAATTGACCACTATTTTTTCTTTAGCATTTTGGGTTATATATGTATATGTATATATATACATATGCATTATTTTTTTTTTGTTCTACAGGGTAAGATCACTTGGTTTTCTCATCTGATTCCGATTCCACAACTCATGTAAATGTTTTTTTTTTTTTTTTTTTTTTTTTTTTTAAATAAAGAAATCATATATGTTTTTTAAGAAAAAGAAAGACGTGAGTTGGAGTTGGCGCTCTTGGGAAGCATTATTTAATTAATAAAAGACAGAAATTTTCATAAATAAAATAAGAAAAATGATTTTCCTTTTTTTTTTTTTTTATAAATATTATATTCCTTCAACGCAACAATTGATTTAGATAGAATGTCGCACGTGAAGTCATATCCTCTTAAAAAACAGGAAATACTCAATCATACAACGTCAGCAATATAGGAAGGCGATCATTGGAAGAGAACTTGAGGGAGAAGATCGAGTTTTAGCACATGAAGGTGGAGATATTTTATTTTATTTTTTGTTTTTTAAATAATTTAAATGTAAGCTTATGAATTAAAAAATATTACTAAAAATCAAAAGAAATAAAATATTTATTAACAAAAAATTGTACAACGATATGAAACATAGCAACATCATTAGCCACGTGTGCACAATCTTAATAGGTCTTAATTGATTGTTTGTTGTGATGATTTATTTGGAAAAAGGTTTGAAAGTACATAACTTACATACATATAAAATCAAAGCAAGGACTTATTTCAAAAATGCATCTTATAAACCTCTTAGTCATGTCATCATTCACATGTGCATGATTTCAATAAGATGCAAACAGTCATTTGTCACAAGAGTTTATTTGGAACAAATTTAAAAATATTAAAATAAGTACATACAAAATTAGTTTTGATACCATTTTTTAAAAGTATTAACTGTACATATACTTCTTATGTACTTTATTGAAATATATGTTATCCAAGCCCACGGACTAAGCCCACAAATTCAGCAAGTATAGGTGACTTGCGAAAAGATCCCCACATGAAATTGTCTATGCATATATAAGATGTGCATTGTATAGATATAGCGTAAGCATACCACATTTTAACTTAGGTATATAAGTTTCCTTTTTTTATTTTAAAAGCATCAATGAATAATAAACCAAAAAGAAAAGAACCTCATTAGAGTTTTTCATCTTATCATCTCTCCTCTTATAAGCATCTTGTTCTTCCTTATTTCTCTGATTTTTTTTTTTCACGGATTCGTGAAGATCTTTTTTTTACCACCAGAAATTTAGAGTTCTTTCATGGTACTATAGCAAATGGAGAAAAAGAACTCAAATAAAACAAACCTTCTCTCCTTCGTTAAGAGCACTTCGCATCAAGTGGAAACATTCTCGATCCTTCTCATCTAAGTTGTCTGTATGACATCGAGAGGAACGAAGCTCTAACATATTGCCCATAACTCAATTACAAGATGTAAATAGCTATCACACTAGGGCCAAATCAAAGAAGCATTTGTTATGTATCAAGAATAAACCAGGGTTTATAGATGGAAGTTTGAAGGAGCTGGCATATATTAGTGATCCACTCATGGAACACTAGTTACAATGCAATGATATCGTCACCAATTGGATACAAAATACACAATCAACAAACATCAAATCTAATATGCTATACACCTATACAACTTACTAACTCTAGGTCGAATTAGAACAAAGACATGTACAGCAAAATGCTCCCACGATCTATGAGATAAAACAAGTCATATCTAATCTATGTAAAACTAATTTATTGTACATGTTTGTTTCTCAAATTTAAAAGTATTGTTTGATAAGTTGATTGATAATGCCTAAAAATGACATCATTATCACCCACTTTTGAGTAGTTAAATTTGATAGTAAACTATCTAATCCGAACTATTTTCTATATTTTGTTGTAGGATAAAAGATAAAGATGAAATAAGAAAAAACAGTATGAAAATGAGAAGAGTACGTAAAAAGAGTCATCAGCTCATAAATAAACCTTGAGGAAGACTTGTATTCAATAGACAGCAATAGGTCATGCCCTAAACAATTTAATCTTGAGCAAGGCTAAGGGTCACGCACAATAACCAACTTAAATAAAAGTGCACGCTTTTTAAATATAAAAAAATCTCCTTCCAACCAACATTCAAGATCGAAAATGAAGGAGATATTATTTTGGAAAGTTAGGGATAAGCCAAAAATCAAGGAAAATGATCTTTAATCAACAAAAGAAAAAAAATCCTACCTTCCTTAGGTTATAAAATCGCAGCTCCCAAGTAGGTTCATCATCTTCCTTCTTTCGGAGGCCTCACACAGTAATAACTGCAAATCCCGCACCCTCTTTTCATCTTCCTCATTTCTTTAATGTTCAAAAAGCTCTTTTGTATTGAAGTCCACCATTAGTGGCTAACTTATTTTCTTTTTCTAGTTGAGATCTAATGAACTCCAGTGATAAATTTGTGAGATCGAATTAGTTTAATCTATGAACAAGACCTGCTGAACGTTGGAGAGGCAGGAAACAACTAGCCAAACCTCTGAAGTCCGTAATTGTTTGAGTGGTTCCAACAGTTAGTAGCAATCAGTATGGCACTAAAGATGTAAGTAATCTAGTTGATCAGTTCATGTAGATGAATCTGGTAACTTGAATCAGGTTCTTCTAATTTTTAAAGTCGTTGATAAGTTAAATCTTGTAGATGTTCTTAAGACTATTTGGCTAGCGAAAAACCAACTAATGAATGTTTCTTGGTTGATTTAGAAATAAGGAATTGATCGGTTATCAGAACGTTTCCGACAAGTATAAATGATTTACTATATTTTAAGTAAAATAAATCCTTATATCTATTATCAATTACGTTATTAGAGTTAGCTATTTTGTCAACTAGAAAAAAAATTTATAATTGAATTAGTTTCTAACTTGCAGCCAAGAGTTGTTTAATATTATTCTGCTTATTATTTATTTTATCTTTTGCATATTGGATTCTACACAACTCCCTTTATCTAATTATTTCTAGATTAGACCCTACTTACCATTATTACAATCTTGTTTTATTAGTTAAATAGAAGTTTATTTTTGGTGGATTCGACACTCATCAAATTTTAGTGTCGTGGAAGAATTAAGATTAACTTATTATTTTTCTTTTTTAATACGAGGATTGATCGTGGAGAATTACTTCTTTATGACTCAAAGATTGAGAAAATCGCCAAAAGTGTAAAAAAAATACCATAGAAGAAAGACAGACACATTAAGACAATACTCCATCCGCTACACCCAAAACAGAAAACATGGAACAAGAACACACATGCAAAAAGTTGGTAGCCCCACCCACAAACTAACAACGCCTTTGC